AAAATTCTCCCGTCCTTGAAAAGTGTCACCAGCAGAAAGAGCTACTTTTTGCTGAGCCACATTTATGTAGAACCGACTGTGCTTATTAATTTCAGTCTGTAATCGTTTCCATTAGAGCAAAAGGGAGTCAAAGTCTACAGTCATTAATCATTACAGTACTGCAGATCCCCATACGCTCATTCAGGTCCGTCAGAAATACATTACGGAACTCTGCAAGGACACGGCCGCCCTGGCATTTAGAGTAAAGACCTTAAAACCAAAATGCATGTTGCTTTTTGAGTGAAAAATGAAAATTAGTAATACATATGCAAGGAGTCTACTGTAACGGCATCGGAGAGGGTCACAATATATTTACAGCAGTGCATCCACCGTGTACCAGAATACTGAGAATAATGAAGAGCGCGTCCTAAAGTCAGTCCTGACTGATCCAACTCAAACGCACACATTAAAAACAAAAATACATTAGTGAGTGAACGAACAAAACTCAAACAAGGCAGAACTGTAAAATGCTGAACAATCTTCGCACCAATAACCTTCTTGTCTTTTAAAAAATAGCCTCCGTTGGTTTAAATGCTTCAAAAGGAAAATAAATGGACATCTTTGGTGAAGATTCCACAGCAATCTCTCAGTCTTGTTGCCATGATGTCTCTGCAGAATGCCAACTGGGCTCAGCAGCAGGTGCACAAATGAACACATTCGAACGAATGAACGGACAAACACGCATACTGCTGGTTTCTTTAAAAGGTTTAAAATCAATAACAATCCCGCTGGAGAAACCTGATGCCATCGAGGGGAAAATAGAATGACCATAGTGAGGATGACGGAGGTCTGATTTCATGGAAGTCTCAGGCTCTGTGACTATCAGTACTTTGAACCATTTGAAGATTTAAAGAAATAGTTGACCTTTCTAAAATCACCATTCCAAATCTGTATTTATGTATGAGCAATCTTTTCTTGTAAGATTTATTTTTGGCGTTGTTGCCTTTATTATGATAGGACAGTTTAGATCTGACAGGAAGTGAAGTGGGATTGGGAAAGGTCCTTGAGCCGGGACTCGAACTTGGGACGCGCTGCCCACGAGGCTATTGGCACCATGCTTTTTAACAATCTTAATGCAGCTGTTCATTGGTCATTTAAAGGGGTCATATGATGCGATTTCAATTTTTCCTTTCTCTTTGGAGTGTTACAAGCTCTTGGTGCATAAAGAAGATCTGTAAAGTCGCAAAGACTAAAGTCTCAAATCCAAAGAGATATTCTTTATAAAAGTTAAGAGTCAACCACGCCTACCCAAAATGCCTCGTTCTAACACGGCCCCACATGTCTACATCACTATGTGGAAATATTAGCATAATGCCGCCCAAATGTGCACGCAAAGAA